ACGTTATTTAGGTTTGAAATTAATTTAGGGGAGGGGTGGGTGCATATATATTAATTTTTATAATATTATTATTAATATTTAATTAAATATAATAAAATCTGTATCTATTTATAAAATATCTGATTTGTGAAAAATAAAACTTGAGATCTGATTTTTGAATTCAGATCTTCAAAAGTAGGGAATAGAGTAATTTGCACTTTAAATAATTTTCCAACAATGCCTAGTCTCGAACAATGACATTTTAGGCGAGGTGTCTAAAGGCATGGCCTAGCTGCCTCAGAATGCATATATGATAGAGGCGATGTAAATAGAAGTGAAAACCTTACTTAAATAGCTGACACATGGTTTGTCTTGTAGGCAGACACATAACATGTATTTTATTAGCTACATAATTATTATTGAAGCTCGTCAACATAATATTTTCTGTCTTATTTAATTTGCAATTTATAATGAACACTAAAATAGCTAAGTTACTAATTTTTAAATTTGAGCAATTCAGTTTTTATTTGTTGATGATATTCATGAAACAATATTAATTATATCAATTAACTTTTAGTTTTTGGAGAAATTGCAAATTGTTTCTCCATTCACCATTGAAAGCATTTTTTATTTAATTCTTATTCCATGTCTTTTCCTTTAATTTATGTGGAAAATATAGTTTGGCCACCAACAATTTGAACATCGATAAAAATGTTTGATAATAATTTGTCATTGCATTAATTTGGAAAGAGAGTGAAGAGTAAGAGTCAATTAATTACTTGATTACGTTAAATATTAATACGCAAATGATACACAAAAAAATAGAATTAAAAAAATAATTATATTAAATTATTTTTATAATTTTTAACCTTAGGCTCCCTCCAACAACTCCAGGCGCATCTCCCCCTCAGTTTTCTTCATGTGAAATAGGGGATGAAACAGATATTATGTAGAGAGAGGAGATAAGACAGAGAAACCATCTTCACGTCTTGTGTAGATTTTTTGTTCCGGCCCAAAACCAAGATTCTTCCCCATGAAGACTCCCGAATGCCGTGTATCAAATCATCTCCACCTTCCTCCACTAGACAGGCGCCAATTTTAAGCGATTTCAAATATTTGATTAAAATTAATTTTTGATTTTGACTTAAATTAAAATTAAAATTTTCATCCCTACAAACAGGGGCTAAACGACACCTATTACCAAACCAAATTACGCATGAGTCGAATTTTTTACTATGCCTTGGATGATCCACATAATAAAGTGGACAACAATGATCACATTAAATTATGAGGAAATTACATTCAACCCTACTTTTAAATTACCATTTTCATAAATTCTGATTCAAGTTTGATATTGCAAAAATCAAGTTTTAATTAATAATTTAAAAACATTTTTTTATTTTTATTTTTATATTTATTTACAATAAATTAATTTATATATACCCCACCCTATTTACCCCAAACCCTAAAATCATTGACCCATATCCTCTCAATTCTTCCTCCCGTCTTTATGCTCCATGCCGCCTCCGCCGCCGTCCCTCGCCATTCTTCCCCTCGCAGTCTCACCCATTTCTCTGATCAAAAGCCGCCGCCACCAACTGCCTATGGCGTTATCTTCCTCACCTTACATTCTCTCTCTTCTGTTTCGTTTGAATCAGTACAATGTCCACCATGAAGTTCATCAAAATCGTTCCCAAAAAGCTCTTTAAATCCAAGAAATAACGCTCCGTTTCTAGATCCAAGACCGATCTGTCTTCCTTCAGCTCCCAGACGAAGTCGTCTTCGTCCGTTGAATCCTAATCTGCCCTCAAGAAGCTGATCCACGGATTAGATACGCCAACCAGCGTTCTACCTTCTTTATCGTCCGACGAGTAGTCTGAATTCTCTACGAAACTTCGAGGAAGCTCACTATGGCCCACCGCCATACCCTCTTTCTCATCCTCACCAGCGTTCTACCTTCTTGCCATTGTGGATCTGATTTTTCTTTTTTTATTTTTTTAGTTTCGAGTTTGATTTATTGGATGGGTATGGTGGTTGTATGGTTGTTGTTTGTTAGATGTGGTGATTTTTCAGTCAAATGGTGGTTGTATAGTTGATGTTTTGTTGTTGGCTATAGCAGATCTGACGACGATTTTGTTGTTGTTCCGTGTTTTGGTGTTGAGATCGTGGTTTTTGTCGTCGTTGGAGTGGTAGTGGGGATCGTGGTTCCGTGTTTGGGTGGTGTTGGCGGTGGATCGGGCACTTGAAGTGTGGATCTGAAGTTGGTGGCGGCGATGGTTGTCTGTTTTGTGTGTGATCTGTGTGCTTGTTTAGGCTGTGCGTGTCGCGATGGGGGTCTTGGGGTTGTGTGTTCTGAGTGTGATTTGTGACTTAGTGGTAGTCACAAACGATTTTGGTGGTAGTCACAAATAATTTGATTGTTTGTGACCATTAATTATTAATTGTGACCAAAAACTTATTAATTGTGACCAAGAAATTGATAAATTGTGAAGTATTGTAACTTATAAATTTTGAAATTTGTGACCAATGAACAAATTGTGACTTTTAAAATTCTAAGTTATGACCAATAAACAAATTGTGACCTATGAAAATTTTGAATTGTGATCTAAAAAATTTTTAATTGTGACCAAATTGTATAGATCTGTGACCTTAACATATTCGTCGAAATCGGATCAATTGTCGGAAAAGTCGCCGGAAAAGAGTTGTGACCGAAACGGTCGCCGAAATAACCCCGAAATTGTAGGGATGGTGGAGCTGGGGATGGGTTAATTATTTTAGAGTAGAATTAAATATTAATAATAAATTAATTTAATAATTATTATTTCATAATTAAAAATTTAAAGAAACCTGATTTTTGAAATTTAAAACATGTTTTGCTATTTTTGAAAGGGTAAAAGTAAATCCCTTATTTATGTATTCTTCCCTTAAATTATCCATGTTACTGCAAATCCTCAACCCAAAAGTAAAATATAGTTATCAAGATTCAAGAACACACTATCAATAAGCTAATAATCCATCGTATAAGCCTCTCGGGGCCCGCCAAAAGTGCGAAACCCTATTTCTCATTCCATTTTTCTACCCTATATGTCACCACATGGGGTACATGCAGATATAAAAAAGTCCATTCTTTGTAACCGAGCAAAACTGACTTGAGTATTCATTTGGAAACAATTTAATAGTCAGCTCAAAGTTGATTCAAGATCTTCGGCTTAATGTACTACCAACCCAACTCACACTAATTTCCGATATTCTAAATCAAACCATCCCAAGATTAGGATCTTCGGAACTACACAGTATAAATCCCAGCTACAAGCTCGTCTTATAAGTAGAAGCCAGCAGAATACCAAGAATCATACATCATTAATATTATATACATTATCGTGTTCAACTCTAATCTAAATTACAGAATACAACATTTCAGAACTATTCCTTTTTGATCCATCCTACCATCTTCATTGCCTGGAAAGAACAATGCCACATTAGTTAATAGAGACATGCGTACTGGTTAGTGTTTGTGTGGGCACACATTCATGTGAGTGTATCACACACAGAGAAACCTGAACTGAACAAGAGATACTAGATCAAAAACTCCATATTAAACTCAAGGATGAACTCAGATATGACATACCTAGAGGCTGAGCTAATTTTCGATTTTGAGGAGAAATCATCTCTTTTTTCAATTGCATTAATATATCCTCCATTGTATACTCCCTTTGCCAGTCAGCAAGCATGGGGAAAAGACTTGGTTCAACCTGATATTGTTTTGTTACCATAAGAGTGCAGTTAATCATATTATTGCAGAGCAAGTATTTGAAGTAGTACATACCACACCAGTTTCATCATTGACACAGTTCATATTGATCTGGGTCTGGAACCTCACATTAGGTGGCTTTTCTGGATATTCTTTCCCACAAAATAAATTCAATTGGTAAATGCGTCCTTCATGTACAGTCTGAAAAGAAGTTTTTCTAGTCAGAAAGAAACTCTAATTCAGCGACTATGATACGTTAACTAAAGTAACAAATCACAGCAATAGCCAATGCCATAGTAGCCCTGGTGTAAGTAAGATGACAGTAAACTTCAGAACACGATCTCTAAAGAGTTAAGGTCAAATCATATCAGTAGGTGCTGAGATAGAACTTAGAATCGACGTCTTCACAGTGTAAAAGTGAGATGGAGAGAGTGTGTGCAGACATTAGATGTTTTGTCCACTGAATTTTGAAACGACAAAGCATGAATGATCACTTGAGCAAATGAGATTTGAACAATTTTTTTCACTATAGCACAGATAAAACTCGTATAAGTATAATTATCTAAATGAAAAATAATTCCAATTGAAACAAAAATATTCAAATGGTCTTCCAAAATTATTTGTCACATTTGCCTCGGTCAGTAGATTCTAGGAAAATTATCTCCATTTCATATACTTGATCTACTACATAGTAACAAATAAAAAATGTTATGATCTTCAGTATCTTTTAAATTGTGATGTTGATTATGTGCATTATAATCCTTTTGGTGATTATTCATTTATATGATTTAGTTTTTCAAACTAATAACCAACATTCGTCTCATATAATCTTATTATTTCATCTGTCATTGTACCTTGAATTTCATGGGAAATGACAATGCAATTAATATTTTTTTCCTAAAGTCCATTGCATTGTTGAAAGAAGATCAATTAAAATGAAAGTTCAAATTGCACCCCTGAGAGAACTAACATTAGGAGGACCAATTATAGTTCCAGTCCATGACTGCATGTACACATCATCAGCATCATCCATTCCATAGCTAACTGTTCCATCACCTATTCCCTTCTCGCCTCGCTCAAGCTCTTCTAATAATCTGAAGTTCCTTGGAACTGAAATCAGCAGAACTCTCAGAAAGATGAATGCATACTTCACAGGAAAGCATTAATCTCAAATGCAAATAATAGTTTCATCATTAATAAAACTGCACACCATGTGACATAAGTTGCTAAAATGACCAGATTAAAATACATTAGTATATTGCCCTCCTTCAATGACTCGAAGGGCTTCCTCTTTTTGGATATTGAGAATGGTCACCACCTTTCAGGATCGGAATGATTATCTGAGCCCGACAGATCTAAATCCATCCCTGAATGTCATCGGGTACTATTAACTTTCCCGCCATTCTTGTAACTGTCAATTGTTGTAACACTCCAAAAATTTTAAAATAAAATTATTTGTTTTATAAATTTTATTATGATTTTTGAAAGTTGAGGGACTAAAATAAAGTATGTTTTAAATTCTTATGTTTTAAATGGACCAAATTTTTAACTTTTTATAGAGTGGCCAAATGTATATCAACATTGGGCTCATTTTGTAGTTCGCATTAAATAAGGTTTGTTGGGCTCAAGAAAATGTAAATTTGAATAAATTAAGCCCAAGTTATTTCAGTTCAAAGAAATTATCTTTAATTGGTAATCAATTAGATTGGTTTATGGTTTAAATTTTCTGGCAGCTTACCGTATAGGATGAGTTGTAATCATATTATGATAAATATTTATTTGTTAATTGTAATCATATTTTTGGATTAGGACGAAAATAA